TGGGACTAACTGGTTGACCCTAGGTGGGTTGGGGCTCCATGCATGGCCGACTAGCGTGACCGCCCTGCGGAGATAACTACTACAACGGGAGCTAGACTACGGGCTAGACACGGGTGCTTGTGTGATCTCTGCGTTCGTTGGCCCTTAGTCGTTTTCCTAGTGCACACACAGCTTGCTAGTTCACGAGGAGAATTGGCAAGGGTTTCACAAGAGAAAGTTGACAACAATGGTACAATGAAGTTGGCATGGAAAGACTACATCAGAGCCAGCATTCAAGTCGGTCGACTGCCAGCACAGCATGGCCGACCGCGTTCCAGCACAACTTGGTTGACCACGCTCCAGCAGTGCAAAGTCGACAGTATGCCAACGGTGCAGGTTGACGGCGTGCCAGCGTTGCTCCCATAGAACAGCAGCGCACCTACTTTGCAGATGCTCGTTGATGATTGGAGAGCTAAGCCTCGTCACCTGAACAACGCACGCACCAAGTCATCTTCGTGCTGACGGCTCCACCTGATCCGCCACGTCGACCTCGGGATACTTCCACCGAGGTCGGACTCGCCAACTTCGCCTGGGCGACCGTCGCACTCCTTCGCAGAACCTCATCACCCAGGTATCCTGGTCGACCGGGCAACCATGTCGACCAGCTGCTCCTGTATGTGCTCATCGACCTCCCAAGTCGACGACCACACCAAGTCGACCTCACCAGGTCCACCACTCCTTTGGTCGACCAGCTCCAGGTCAACGTCACTCCTGGTCGACCAGCTCCACATCGACCAGTGCAGTTGTCAACCGACCACCCAAGTCGGCTACCCCAAAGTCGGCGTCACCAAGTCGACGCCCCTTCTACTTCGGCGCCGACTTCCAGACTAACCTCTTGAAGTCGGCGACCTCCCAAGTCGGCGACCTTGCAAGTCGGTGACCTTGCAAGTCGATGACCTTGCAAGTCGATGACCTTGCAAGTCGGTGACCTAGCAAGTCGGTGACCTGGCAAGTCGGTGACCTGGCAAGTCAGTGACCTGGCAAATCGGTGACCTGGCAAGTCGGCGTCGACTTCCAAGTCGATGTGCCACATCGCCGACCACCAGTTGAAGTCGGCCGCCGGCTTCCCAAGTCGGCGGCATTGCAGTGGCCCCGTGCAAGTCGACCAACCCCGTCGACCAGCTTGCCCAAGTTGGCGTCGCCCACTGCTGCAAGTCGGCTGTACCTTCCGTACACTCCACCACGAAGTCGGCTCCGCCCAAGCGTGGACGGGGCCAACACACAACTCCCGTTGACACGCCCTGCTCAAGAGGTACGCCTCCGGTAGGTTCATCTGCTAAAGGAGTTGTTGGGCCGCCATGACCGGCGCTATGTAGGCTGCAGATGCTTCCAAGGCTGGGTCAATGATGCCTAAACCCCCCAGCCTAACAGATAGTGTGCCTTGCCGCTAGAGTAAGCTCTGTTCTAGCTCACTCGCTGGGACCCATGGTTTGGCCATTGCTAGTGCCGTCACCATAAAGGATTCACTCCGTGTCCTCCATTCCTCCCTCTCAAGCACTGTCGCCGATGTTGTCCGTAGCAGATAGGATATCCTGCGTGAGATACTACTCGAGAGTATTAGCATGGCGTGCTGGGGGTGCAATTGAGCCACCAGAGGTAACGGTGCTGACGCTTTGGTGACTTGTGTTTGTGCCTGATTGGTGCCGTATCACTCTTTATCTCTTGCATAAATCTGAATTGGCGTATACGGTTTCCAACTTGCCTAAATGCAGCATCTGCCACCCATTTTGCAACCTTACATATCCCATTCTCACTCCAGGCATCAATTGGGACAGAGCCAAGAAGGACCTTACAAGTTTCACAACCATCCTCTCCACCCACCATGAGGATCTCAACTTCCACGACAGCCTCTCACAGATGCTTTCAGCTGACGACTGGCAGAGGGCCTATCCCAGCATTGGTCGGTTGTGGATTGAGGTGGCTGTGCTCCCACTCAGCACCATTGAGTGTAAGCGCGGCTTCAGCTGGCAGAACATAATCAAGAGCTGGTGCCGCCTTAACTTGTGCGATGCGACCCTCGGCAACCTCATGATCATCACCCTCCTTTACTATGACATGGATTGGGAGGAGCTGGTAGAAAGGTGGCATGCGAGCAAGAAGAGACGGCCGGCCAAAGGCGTCGTCACGGCGCAGTCTTCTCGCCCGTTAAAGAAGCGGCGGTCACACCACCGGCAGAAAGCTGTAGTAGAATCAGCAGCAGCAGCAGCAACAGCCGCACGAGAAGAGGCGATGCAGGCTACAAGCCGGGAGAGAGAGAGAGACGTGCAGAAGAAGAGGCATGAGAATTGCCCGTCTAGACCAAGAAGGGGAAATCATAAGTTCTAGAGGAGGATCTCTCTGAAGACGATGATGCTAATGATGGTGATGGACCTGGAAGTGGTAGTGAGTCTTCGGAATAAGCTAGGAGTTGTACTAGCATAGGTGCAGAAGGGTGTGTAGTTTAGCTAATATGTATCTAGCAATCTAATGTTTTTAGACTAGGCATAAAATCTTGTATGAATTCTAAGACAAGGCCACGTTTTTTGTCTGAAATGATAGACATAGCTTCATACTCCATCTGACGCTCAGACAAGCCTCCGAAACCCGGTCTTACAGCCAGACAGGGCATTTCACTAAAGCTGTTCCTGTACACACACCCTTAATTGTCTGCATCAAATAGCAAATGACGACTGGCTCTTAGAGTCTGACGCACAGTAACTAACGTGCAACAACTGTGCCGCGCAACAACAGCGCGCAGCAGGTGCCCGACAGGCGCGCAAAAGGTGAGCAATTCAGTAAGAAGAAGACGCTGATAACACAAAGAACACAAAGAGGAGAAAGAGAAGCACAGCAGAATGGGAGAGAGGGAGAGAGGAGGAGGAGAGACTTGCACAGCGGAAGCATTTGGAGCGGCGTCATTGTGTGCAATGACGTCAGCAGAAGCCCCCCCTGCCCCCAACCCACCCCCACGACTCAGGTCACAGTAGGGCATGTGTGTCGCAAGCCCATCGTCAGCCACTGTCGCCACCCCTATAGGCTCCCCCCCACATCGGCAGCCACGACAGGTGCGTTGACGACAAGTGCAGGAAGAGGAGGAAGGGCGAGGGGGGGAGGGGAGGAGAGCGGGGACGATGGCAGCGCTATCCGCAGTGCCGTCTGCTACCCCCTTCGCCTCCCCTGCACAACAACAGTCGCAGCTAGAGCAGTTGTATTATGCAACACGCAATTATACGTAGAAGCACCACCTTTGATGAGCGCGACTGCTACTGTACATGTAGAGCTTCAAATTCGAAATGCCACTTCAAAACGCACAAATCTTCAGTTACTAGTACCTCCGCGAAACATATTCAGGTCGTATGTCAGATTTCAAGAATGCAAAGAGGCAATATTACGATGGGCCACTCACGACCTATGGCGTGCTTCTATATGGCATGGCACCAACAAAGAAACTCAAGGCTCTAAAAAAAACCCATGGAAAAGAGAATGGCCCCTATGAAAATGGGCAAGTCCTACATGAACCGTTGCCGAAATTATCAAACATGAGTCCATAACGAAAGGCATTATTGTCACAATTGTACTTACTGGTTTTGATTCCAAATGGAGACTGTACAAAGCCCTACTTTGTTAACAGGGAGTAATATTTGAGGCCACCTCCACACAAGTTTTATTCCTAAACGACAAAACTTTAACCTCCCCATCAATAAAAGGCTCCTCAAAAAGAAAGGATGACCTTTTAATATGTATGTAACATATAAGTGAGCTCACAAGTGCATACAAGGGGGAAGAAAATAGCAGCCCATGCTCTCTATAGTGTAGTCTTATCCTAGCCTACAAAGTAAACATGACAAGATACATACGTGTTCGTTGACACACCCCCTAGGCTAGGCAAGGCGCAATACCTTGAAAACCAGAACCAACTGAGGGGCGATGTGAGAGAATCGAAAATTCACTTCGACATATAACAATCAACCTGGGTACAACTACGTGTCTATATTTACATATGCACGATACAAGGCAGGTAACTAGGTAGTAGAAAGTAATGAGGCTCTAAAAGCCACGAGAATAGAGCCTTCCCAAATCGGTAAAGGAATTCGGTGCGAATTCGCATATATGCAAGGTCACGTGAGATAGTGCGAGATGATTCTATAAAATGGTGCTGTCAAAACATTATAGCTTATACATTTGTGTAGGCTGTAGTGGGGTAGCCCATAAGGGGTACAACCCAATTAGGGTTAGTACTTGTACCCAACTCTTTCATAGTTCAATCATTCTAGTTTCTCGTCATGGTATCGAGCAGGTTCCCGAGTGGGAATGCTGCCTAGGGCCCACCACGATTGTTTTTCCTGCCCGGAGCGCGCTTCACTCCTACCCGAGTAGCGCTTCGAGTGCCTTACCTACCTTCGAGCCGCCCTTAGTGGCCCCCTTTGGCCGCCCTTACGGCCCCTCGCGTCGCCTTCTACGGCCCCTCGCGCCGCCCTTACGGCCCCTTACGGCCCCATCTGGCCCCTCACAGCCCCGCTTAGGCCCCTTACGGCCCCGTCACGGCCTCGCCTAGGCCCCTCCGCGGCCCCATCTGGCCCCTTACGGCCCCGCCTAGGCCCCTCCGCGGCCCCGTCTGGCCCCTAACGGCCCCGCCTAGGCCCCTTACGGCCCCTTCGCGACCTCGCCTAGGCCCCTCCGCGGCCCCGTCCGGCCCCTTACGGCCTCGCCTAGGCCCCTTACGGCCCCTCCGCGGCCCCGCCTAGGCCCCTCCGCGGCCCCGTCTGGCCCCTTACGGCCCCGCCTAGGCCCCTTACGGCCCCTTCACGGCCCTGTCTAGGCCCCTTGCGGCCCCTCCTAGGCCCCTCCGCGGACCGGTCTGGCACCTTACGGCCCCGCCTAGGCCTCTTACGGCCCCGCCTAGGCTCCTTACGGCCCCTTGCGGCCCCGTCTAGAACCCTCCGCGACCCAGTCTGGCCCCTTGAGGCCCCGTTTTGGCCCCTATGCGGCCCCGCCTAGGCCCCGCTGCGGCCGCGTCTGGCCCCTTTACGGCCCCGTTTCGGCCCCTCTGCGGCCCCGTCACCACCTGCGGCCCCGCCGCCACCTGCGGCCCCGCCGTCACCCGCGACGCCGCAGGCGGGCAGCACAGCAGCCGAGCCGCCCAGCAGCCGAGTGGCCCAGCAGCCGAGCCGCCCTGCCGCCGAGCCGCCCAGCAGCCGAGCCGCCCTGCCGCCGAGCCGCCAAGCAGCAGAGCCGCCCTGCAACCGAGCCGCCCTGCCGCCGAGCCGCCCTGCAGCCGAGCCGCCCTGCCGCCGAGCCGCCGAGCCGCCCTACTGTCTAGCAGCTGCTACTCCTACCGGTGCTCCTCGGCCCCTCCTTCCTCGGACTGGTGAGCTCACTTCCTCCTAGGCCACTGCAGTCATGGCTACCCCCAGTGTCCTCACTTTTGATGCTGAGGGCCGAGCCGTTGACTTTGAGGTCTCGATCGATGACCTCCAGCTGTTTCTTCAGTGCGATAGGGCGGACGGCCTCTCCTTGTTTGACCTCACTTCTGGTGCCTCTCCTGCCCCTACTGCTGATGCTGACGCCACTGTTCGCTCACAGTAGGCCACGCGAGATGCTGCTGCTCGCCTTGCTGTGCGCCGCCACTTACCGACCACTGAGCGTGCGCACTTTAGCCAGTACAAGAGTGCTCAGACCTTGTACGACGCTGTAGTTGCACGCTACTCTTCCCCTGCCACTGCTGCACTGAGCCGCCTCATGCTACCGTACCTCTTCCCTGACCTTGCTTCCTTTCCCACAGTCGCTGACCTCATTACGCACCTCCGCACTAGTGACACTCGCTACCGCGCTGCGCTTCCTGCTGAGTTCTGCGCCAAGAACCCCCCCCCCCCCCCATGTACATCACCCTCTACTACATAGTAACCCGGCTCCCTAACTCTCTCCGCGTAGTCAGGGACCACTTCCTCTCAGTTTGCCCCACCACTCTCACCGTTGACCTCATCGAGAAGGCCCTCCTAGCGGCAGAGAAGAGCATAGTCGCTGTAGGAGCCTCTCGTGGTGACCCTCGCACCCCCGTCTTTGAGGGGTGTTCCCCCTCCCCCCTCTTGCCCTCTGTTGCCTCTGCTGCTGCGGCCGACCTCGTTGGTTTCGAGACGGTCGGCGCTACGTCTGCCCCGAGCGGGAGACGCCGCACCGGCAAGGGCAAGGGGGACAAGGGTGCTGGAGGGGCTGGAGGGGGCGGTGGAGGTGGTGGTGGAGGCGGTGGACGGAGTAGGGGTGGTAGTGGGAGTGGTGTCGGGGGTGGCGGCGGCAGCAGTGGCAGTGGAGGCGGCAGAGGCGGTGGAGGTGGCGGAGGGAGCGGAGGCGGCGGAGGTAGTGGAGGAGGCGGAGGTGGAGGAGACGGCGGAGGCGGCGGCGGCGGCAGTGGTGGAGCGGGTCGCGACTCTGCGCAGAGGAGTGGCGCCGGTGGTGGTGAGCGCCAGCAGCAGCAGCGGAGTGGTGTAACCCTGTCCCCTCAGCAGCTTCGTGAGTGGTACACTGCGCGTCAGCGCGGTGGGGGTTTTGGTCCCTGCGCTTACGTCTTTCGTACTAGCGACCAAGCTGGTGAGCAGTGCGGAGGCCCGCACTCCACCCAGCGTTGCTTTGGTCGTCTAACGGACGCGTGGCATTGCCAGTTCCCTGAGGCGTCAGAGATCCCTTGCTGGTCAGATTTGTCTAAGGCCGGGGTTGCTATCTTTGATCTTGATTTTGATGCTATTCTTGCTGCCATGTATGCTGTTGATACTAATGTTGCTGGTGACTCTTACCTCTGTGTACCGCCTGAATTGGGCATTGAGGCTGCTGCTCTAGGTACTAGTGAGGCTACTGCTCTAGGTGCTAGTGCGTCTGCTTCCCCAGGTGCCAGTGCGTCTGCCGCCCCAGGTGCTAGTGAGTCTGCTCTCTCAGGTACTACGTCGGCTCAGGCCTTCCACACCTTCACCCTGGACTCGGGTGCGTCCCGCTCCTTCTTTCGAGACCGCACCACTCTTACGCCGCTCAGACGGCTGATTGCAGTCTCCCTGGCAGACCCCTCTGGGGGTCCTGTCCTTTCTAGCTTCTCCACTGTCCTACCGTGCTCGGTAGCCCCCTCTGGCACCCTGTCTGGTCTCTACCTCCCCTCGTTCTCTACAAACCTGGTGAGTGGAGCATACCTCCAGGATAGGGGGGTTGACCAGTTCACTCCTGCGAGTCAATGAGTGACCCACTGCACGTGTGCTCGGACAGGCCGACACTTGGCCACGTTCACCCGTCGGCCACGGTCCGAGTACGCCGCGCATCAGCTCAACCTTCAGCCCCGGGTCTCCTTGCCAAAGACCTCCCCCGCCTTGCGGTGGAGAGGGAAGGTTGGCGATGCGTCTGCGTTTCGGGTCTGGGGATCTCGGGCGTTTGTGTGCGACTTGTCTGCGGGCAAGCTGTCCCCCCGTGCAGTTCCCTGCGTCTTCCTTGGCTTCCCCCCTGACACGCCTGGGCGGCAGTTTTACCACCCCACCTCGCGCCGTGTTCTGTCCTCCCAGGACGTCACCTTTGACGAGTCGGTGCCTTACTACCGTCTCTTCCCCTACCGCATTGCGCCCCTCCCCCCGCCGTCGCTCTTCCTTGCGCCAGGTCCTCCCCAGGTAGACCCCCTCCCCCCTCAGGGTCCTGCCCCGTCAGGTGTGTCCCAGGTAGACGCAGTCGAGCCTGTCGAGGTAGCTATTGACTCTGGTGCTGCTAGAGTTGCTTAGCTTGCGAGTGCCGGGTCTGGGCGTGCTGAGACTGGGGGTGATGAGCCTGGGGGTGCTGGGTCTGGGGGTGCTGAGCCTGGGGGTGATGAGCCAGGAGGTGCGGAGTCTGGGGGTGCTGTGTCTGCTCGTGTGGCCGCCGGCGGTGCTTCGTGGAGGCTGGAGCCGCTCTCTCCACAGGAGCTGCGCGAGTGGTTTGCCCGCCGCTGGAGACGTGCTGCTGAGACTGGGGGTGCTGCTGGAGCTACTGGAGTTGGTCCTGCAGGAGCTGCTGGCGGTGCTGGTGCTACTGGAGGTGGAGCTGCAGGGGGTATTGGCGCTGGTGTTTCTACTAGTGCTGGTGCGTGTGGGGTTGCTGCTAAGGCTGCTGGTGCTGACGGTCCTACTGGAGTTGGTGCTGCTGGAGCTGGAGCTGCTGGGGGTGTTGGCGCTGGCGGTGCTGCTGGCGCTGGTGCTTCTGAGGGTACTGGAGTTGGCGCTGTTGGGGCTGGAGGTGCTGCTGGCACAGGTGCTGCCGCTGGGGGTACTGGTGCCGTCCTTACTGGTTCTGGAGGCGCTGAGCGGCCGAGGCCGTACTTTGTTCCGCTCCTAGAGCAGGTTCATGGTCTCCCGCGCTCTCCTTGTCCTGCTCCTCCCTTAAAGTGTCCACAGCCTGTCCAGTCGCAGTCACAATTACAGCCTACCTCTCCGCTACCTGCTCCTTCTCCCTACACTGGTCCTACTGGAGGTCTTGCTGAGCGTCGTGGGCCTGCGTCTTGTCCTGCGTCGCCTGTTCGTGCTGCTCGCACTAGTCGTCGTGCTGCGCGTCCGCGTCCTCCTGCAGTCCCCGGCACACACCAAATGGCACTGCGTCCTTCCACTGCTCCTCTGCGTGTCCAGTTGCCGTCTCCTCCAGAGTCCTCTCTTCCTTCTCTTGCTGACCTGGAGTCTGACTCCCTTCGTGTTGCTAGTCCTTCAGTCACGCGCCTTCTTGCTACTGTTGTCAGTGACCCTTCCTTTGAGTCCATAGCTGCGTCTCCTCTAGTTGCTGAGCTTGTCGACTTCGCTGCTCGCTGTCGTGTACACTACGCTGCTAGTCTTGTTGCTGAGTCTGAGTCTATCTGTCCTCCGTCTAATGGGGGTGAGTGTGCTCTTAGCACTGACGTCCTTGAGGACAGGCAGAAGTCGTTCCAGTGCTTTGCGGCTGCTTTGCCCCATCTCGTGTCCACGCTCATTGCCCTTCAGGGAGACCCGGATGCACCAGACTTCCCGACTCCTCGATCGTACGCTGAGGCAATTGAGGGTCCCTACTCCTCTCAGTGGCAGTCGGCCATGGACGCAAAGATGGCTTCCTGGAAGTCCACAGGCACCTACATCAACGAGGTTCCCCCACCTCGGGCGAACATCGTTAGTGGCATGTGGATTTTCAGGGTGAAGCGGCCGCCGGGTTCTCCGCCTGTCTTCAAGGCGCGTTACGTGGCTCGAGGCTTCAGACAATGGCAGGGAGTTGACTACTTTCAGACCTTCTCTCCCACCCTGAAGATGACCACTCTTTGGGTGCTGCTGCACATCGCCGCTCTGCGCGACTACGAGCTTCTCTCTTGGCTTCAGCATAGCTTTCCTGCAGGGCAGCCTGCACGAGGAGATCTGGCTGCGCCGCCCTCCTGGCTTCACTGGGTCGTTTCCTGCTGGTACCCAGTGGAGCCTCCGGCGGCCAGTCTACGGTCTCCACCAGGTGCCCTATGAGTGGCACGACACAGTGAGGACTACACTTGCGGCTCTTGGGTTTGCTCCTTCTACAGTCGACCCGTCGCTGTTTCTGCGCACCGACACTTCTTTGCCGCCGTTCTACATCCTCGTGTACGTCGACGACTTGGTCTTTGCCACTGCTGACACTGCTGGATTCGCCCACGTGAAGTCAGAGCTGCAGAAGAGACACATGTGCACAGACCTGGGTGAACTGCGCAGCTACCTTGGCTTGCAGATCACCCGGGACAGAGCACAGCGCACCATTGCCCTGACTCAGTCACACATGGTGCAGCAGGTCCTTCAGCGCTTCGGCTTCACGTACTCCTCGCCTCATGCCACTCCTCTGTCTACTCGCCACTCGCTCTCAGCTCTGCCTTCGGATGAGTCCGTAGAGTCGGGTGGCCCGTACCCAGAGCTTGTTGGCTGCCTCATGTACCTGATGACCTGCACACGGCCTGACCTTGCATACCCTCTTAGCATCTTGGCACGCTCTGTTGCTCCTGGGAGACACAGACCAGAGCACATGGCTGCAGCGAAGAGGGTGTTGCGCTACGTGTGCAGTACGTCGGGCATGGGGCTAGTGCTTGGAGGGCGACGTCGAGTAGTCCTTACAGGTCACGCTGACGCTTCTTGGGCTGACGACCAGGCTCCGCAGCGGTCATCACAGGGTTACACCTTCAGCCTTGGCTCCGGCTCTATTTCGTGGCGGTCTACCGGCTCGTCTTCTGTTCTTACCTCTTGCTGTGAGGCTGAGATCTACGCAGGGGCTATGGCTGCACAGGAGCTACGCTGGCTCACCTACCTGCTGACTGACCTAGGAGAGCCGCCTCGTTCTCCTCCAGTTCTGTACCTAGACAACAAGGCCATGCTGCCCTTGTGTTGGGAGCACAGACTGGAGCACATAACGAAGCACATTGCTCTCCGCTACTTCCTGGCTCGTGAGCTGCAGCAGCGTGGTCAGCTCCGCCTCACCTACGTGGCCTCTGAGGCCAACACTGCTGATATATTCACCAAGGCCCTTCCGCCTTGTGATCATCTGTGCTTCTGTACTTTGCTAGGTCTTGTGCCTACCTGGCCTTACTTGCTCACTTCTTGATCTTGTTTGTACTGTCCTCTTTCTATACCTGCACTTGCTTGTTTACCTTTATATATACGATCTTGCATGTGAACTAGCCTTGTGGCCTAACTCTTGTGCTCGGACTGTGTGGTGACTTTGTGATCCACCCTGAGCTTGCTTTGCTTTGCTTGACTGGTTTTGTGACCGCTTGTTCTCCCCCACTTTGCCTATGGGGGTGTGTCAGAACATTATAGCTTATACATTTGTGTAGGCTATAGTGGGGTAGCCCATAAGGGGTACAACCCAATTAGGGTTAGTACTTGTACCCAACTCTTTCATAGTTCAATCATTCTCCTTTCTCGTCAGGTGCACACATAACCTATTCGGTGCATATAACCATAATAAGAAATGGTAAAGCAACGAAATACGAAAGTGTCGTAGGGAATGGAATAAGAAAGAGAAATAAGAGGAATTAGAATGGAACAGACGATGTTCAGGGATTAGGCAGCACTACTGTTCCAACCACTAAGGCAAGATGCCACAAAGGTCAGTCAGCTCGAGAATGTAGGGTGTTTTGAGCCCCCAGTTAAAAAGTCGAGGCTAGTTCTAGAAAATGTTGAAACCGAAGGCTGTAAGGCATCTAGAGGTATTCTAGGACGGGCAAACACGCGAGAGTCGGAAGGAGCCATGGGGGTGTGTGTCAGATTTATATGACATAGCTATTGTAGGATATAGTGGGGTAGCACATATGGGGTACAGCTTTCTAGGGTTTGTATTTGTACCCAACTTTCATTTAGTCATTCCCATTCTCGTTTCATTTTTCTCATGGTATCGAGTAGGTTTCCTTGTGGGAACTGTGCCTAGGGCCCACCAAGTCGAAAAAAATTTTCCTGCCCGTAGCGCGCTCAGCCCGAGTCGCGCTCCCCTCTTTGATCTCGTCGAGCCGCCCTAGGGGCTGCGATGCGCCGCCCTAGCGGCTGCGTTGCGCCGCCCTCGCGGCCCCTGATCCGTCGCCCTCGCGGCCCCGTCGCCCTAGCGGCCCCGTCGCCTAGCCCTACGGCCCCAGCGCCGCCCTTCCGGGCCCTGATCTGCCGCCTCGCGGCCCCATCGCCTACCCCCGCGGCCCTCGCGCCGCCCTTTCCTAGCCCCGATCAGCCGCTCTGCAGCCTAGTCGCCTAACTGCGGCCCCGACCCCTTCCTCGACCCCGGGCCCGTCGCCTCCTTGCGGCCCCTGGCCCCGTCGCCTACCTGCAGCCCCTGAAGTCCCGTCGCCTACCTGCGGCCCCTGCGGCCCCGTCACCTACCTGCGGCCCCTAGCCCCGGTCGCCTACCTGCGGCCCCTGGCCCTTGTCGCCTACCTACGGCCCCGGCCCCGTCGCCTACCTGCGGCCCCGGCCCCGTCTCTTACCTGCGGCCCCGTCGCCTACCTGCGGCCCCGGCCCTGTCACCTACCTGCGGCACCGGCCCCGTCACCTACCTGCGGCCCCGGCCCCGTCGCCTACCCGAGCCGCCCGAGCCGCCGAGTCGCCCGAGCCGCCGAGTCGCCCGAGCCGCCCGAGCCGCCCGGGCCGCCGAGTCGCCGAGCCGCGGTTGCCGCCCGAGCCGCCCGAGCCGCCCGAGCCGCCCGAGCCGCCGAGTCACCGACCCGCCCGAGCCGCCCGAGCCGGCCAAGCCGCCTGAGCCGCCGAGT